CTAAAATATTGTGTATCTATATTAATAATTGAAAACATAAAATTTAGTCAGTGTCAATTGATTTATGTTAAGTTATAAGCTAAAAGCTGCCAAGTATATTAARCAACTTGATTATTAATCCTCAAGAAATTTAATAATTTTTGGACATAATTATAGAAAGTAATGTTATATTATTTTAGTTCATTAAATATTATTTTTATTTGAAAACTGAGAATTTTTTTCAAATAGAAATATCAAAAATAACATATCTAATATTTAAACTATCAAAATATGACAGAGGGTGGCAAACCTGTAACACATATTACTTATATTACATATACTTCAATGTTTGATATTGTATTTAATGAAAAATAATCAAAAAAAAATCATTATTGCCCTATGGTGCTTTACTACATTTACCAACATTTTAGCTACATCAATAAATTTAGTTGTAAATTAAAAATACAACATTAAGAACATAATAAAAAATGGTCATAAATACTTAATGTTTGAACAATACATATTTATACATGCAAAATATTGATCAACTGTGACACAGATTTTTCAGCAGTGAAAACATTTTTAAACTGATTATACAATTTTAGTATATGACCTGGAAAATGTACGCCATCTATGGTATACCAAGTTTAAATTTATCATTTAAACAAAATTAAATATAAAAAGATATTTACTTGTAATTTCTAACTGTAAATTTTAATCTCCTGTTTTCATTTTGAATATCTAATTACTTTTATAATACAATTAAATATAAGTATAAACATAGTACAGATACTAGAACTAAATATTTCAATTTATACAGAACGCCACCCTAGTTAAACAGTATTTTATATTCAATAAGATTAAATTCTTACAAAAACTATGTTTACTTAACCATATAGAGGCTTACCAATATATACTACTGAAATTTCCGTGTTGCCATAAACGGCTGACACCGAAGGATATAATTTAGTTTTAGGTAAGTTTTTAAAAGCTATACCTAAAAATTCATTACATTTTTCAAAGTGCAAAATACCATTTTCAGAATCTAGTACTAATTGTAATTTTTCACCAATTTGGTACCTAGGAGCATTGTTTAACAATGGGTAGTTTCCATGTGATATTCCATTGTGTAACAAAACGTTATCGATTAAGTTCCAACCCCAACTATGCTTGTCAATACCCAATAGAGGTAAGTAACCACTACAATGCACTGGAGCCTCTTTTGTTGAAACGCCAACCATAGCAACTGTACCTATAAGCAAAATAATTGGCATTTGCATTAATTTCTTATTTATATAGTATATTGTGAATTTAATATCTCTTTACCAAGTGGTCCAGTCCATGTTATTTCCCACACATGTTTACCGCTGTTGTAACCAATTTTAGTTCGTGCCATATCTGTACTCTGGGCAACTGGATTGCGATGCAAAGTGAAACCATTTTGTTTGACGACAATGTGCATGGAACAATCGTCTGGATTCCATGAATGATATAAGGCGCGTAACTTAGCTTTATAGCTGTGGAGTTGTGACAAAAGTTCTGACTTCAGTATCTCTTCAGGTATCTTACGACGACACATAAGTTTCCATGGCTCTGCTCTGCCGTGATTAATCACTCTATACCAATTTTGACAGACTAACATGCAGTTAAACAAGTCTGGCACTTCCAAATTTGAAAATATTATGTCCAAAACTAAGTCGGGTAAGTATTGTGGTGCATGAGAAACGTCCATCATGAATGTTTTCGAATGTTAATCATGTAAATATGACTGCATTTTTTTCCCAATTATACCACCATTTTGTAAGAACTAAGATTAACGTGCACACAGATACATATTTTCAAATGTATATTATAATAACTGAGATAGAATGTTAAACGTATAATTTTTCATAGAAAAATGTTCTGTATTTGTAAAAATTATTTAAATTTATAATACTTCWCATTTGAATACTCGATTGATAATTGTTTACTACAAATTTAAAATTTGATACTGTTATCAAATTTTTTTAATAAGAACATCACGTATATAATTTATTGTGAGGAGCATAATTTTTTTTATCATTATCAAATATCATTAATTATAATCACGAATTTCTATCATRATAGCATAATATATTATCTATGAATTATAGTTATTATCATGATAAATTAATTTATCATGGTTATTATGACCATTGATAATTTGTSAATTACTAAATTACCTAATAATAAAAATTTAACTTGCAACTTACTGTTGTTTTACAAGTAACAATATTAGTGCTTACGCTAGTGCTCTTTAATACTTTAATACGTTTATTATCACTAGAGCAGTGAATACTGTTTACATGAAATAATGTTACAAATATTTTTTTTTTTCAACACATAATTTTGGTTTTATTCAATTTTTATTTTAAAACCGTTCATAAGTGACTGAAAACGTTTATACTGTCCAGATAAATTTGGCCCATGTTAATTAYACTATTTTGTGTTGTCGATTTTTGACCGATTGAGAGTAAACAACTTCCAGTGACCAACTTGTTGAAAATGCTTTCCACGAACTTGTATAACAACATCGACCCAGCCAGAAAGCGAGAGCAACAAATTGACACGTTAAAAGTTTTTAATGAAAAGTAAGCTAACRTCTTGATTCCTGAAAATCAGCAGTGTGTAATCCTACAACGTAAATATAAAACAGTGTTACAGAAATTAGTTTCGATAAAGAATACACTGTTGAATTTCCTACTAAAGCTGGGAATTTGAGCCTGGTCATTTATTTGGGACCAAAATTTCCTTTTGAGAAGCCCACTATGAAAATATGCCCTCGAATAACACACAAATGGGTTGACACCACAGGTGAAATTGTTCTAGCTCCTGGATTGATGAATGTAAGAATGAAATCAGTTATCACACTCGTACTTTAATTTATAAATTAATTTTCTATTTCGGTATTTTTACAGTACACAATTCACTCTGATTTAGGAAGAGTAGTACAGGTAATAAGAAGGGAGTTTGAATTAGACCAGTCACTTACATTGGCAAATGGTGATAATGATGATGGGTAATTTATATTCCACTATACCTAAACTAATCTAAAATTTTATTTGTATATTTTTTAAAGTTTTTCAGGGAATATTGCCATTGGTTCTGTCAAAAATGCAATTACATCTCTCAGTAATGTAAGAATAAAAATATTTTATCAACAACTTTGAATAACTTAAACTTTGTTTTCCTTTAGGATGTAGAATTATTTAGTCTTACAAAACTAACATCAGCTGAATTACTACGTTTAAATAATAATGTAGATTGCCTAGATGAATTTATTTCAGAATTACCATCAATAGAAGCATCTAATAAAAACATTGAAAATACTATCACAAAAATTATGGACTTAGCAAGTAAAAACACTCATATTATACCTATCTATTATGGTTTTGAAAAAAAATTATTAGGATTTTATATTTTTAGATTCAAATATGTCCAAGGAAGAACCAATACATAATTTAAGAATAGAAATATCAAAACAATTAGAAACCATAGAAAATTATCAAAAATCRTATGCTGGACTCTCAACTAAGTATGTAAAGTTGTCAGAGAAATATTCCCCACAGTCAATTTCGGTAAAGCATCAAATAAGATGGATCAATATCATTTGTTTATTTAACATAATGTAATAATTACCTTTTCAGGATAATTTAAAAAAAGCAGCGTTGAAATGTGACGAGGAAAGTGAAAGATTAGCAGAACAGTTTTTAAATGGCGATATAGACTGTGATAAATTTTTACAAGTATATGTAAAATCAAGAACTGTAAGTTTAAGTAAAAACATAATTGAAATTTTCAAAATGTGATATTTTATATTTATTTAATTCAGGTGTCATATACAAGAAAGGCGAAAGAAGAAAGACTGAACTATCAGTTAAAACAATTGAAAGAGGCTGGGTTTTAAATATTTTTATTTTTATTATTGAAAAATGTTATCTTTGTGTGCATTTAGTGCAATATCAAATTTGATTAATCCAATTTTGTCAATGCTTTATCATGTTGATACTGTTATATATTATGTTGAAGCCTTTAAAAAGCTCAATACTAATGAAATCATTATGTAATTTGATTTGTCTATTAAAAGACTTGTCCAATTGATTTTTGTATTAATATATTATTTTAATCCTTATACTAGTTGTTTAATAATGTTCTGACCTACCTGTATGATTCATGGACACTTCCCCGTCTGCCATTTCCTCGTCATGCGTTTCCCCGTAACCACTTCCTCGTAAGATATTTCCCCGTCCAATACATTTCCCTGTACGACATATCCCCGTCTATTATAAGTATACTCACAAATATAAAATATAAGTAATAAAAAAACAAAAAATTACCATRAAATATTTTAATGTTGTAGTTCTAAATTATGAGCGATTCCAATTATTAAGTACTCATTTAGATCATGTTCATCATTGTGTAGACACAATATTTTCTATACGTCTACATTTCGCTATTTTATTGTTATATGTTTTCGACTAATATTTTTCGTTATAGGTGTAAAATCCAAATGATTCGTCGACAAACTAATATAAATAAACTAAATTTGATAAATTAATGTCTCAACAGTTTTTTGTAGACRATGAASAGTTATTAATCCATTTAATTGATTATTTTGAAGAGACTTGGATTGTGAGACCGACTCGAAGAAATATACGGCGACCTCCAATATTTGATTTGAAATTGTGGAACCAATATGATGCTACACAAGCAGGTTTACCAAAAACAAACAATTATATTGAAGGTTGGCATAGAGCATTCTCATCTTTGTTAGCTGCGGCTCATCCTACTATATGGCAACTTATTGAGGTTCTTAAAAAAGAACAACATTTAACTGAAGTAAAAATTAATCAATTTATTGCTGGACAGGAACCTTCAGCAAAAAAGGAAAAATATCGAGATATTGCTAGGCGTATAGAAAATATTACATATGATGAACGTGATCTAGATGAGTACTTAATTGGAATCGCTCATCATTTAGAACTACAATATTAAAATATTTTATGATAATTTTTTTGTATTTTTATTAATTATATTACACATATTATTATATTTACACGATCTCGGTATAGTTTGAATATTTCAGAAATAAATACAATATGGATGGAGAAATGTCGTAAGGGGAAAAGTATTGGACGGGGAAGTGACCAGAAACCACCTGTATTATCCAAAAAATGTTTTCAACATTCTTAAATTAGGGAAAATTATTGTCTTATGTTATTTTTTTAAATTATTGATTTCATTAATTTAAAAAAAAATTAAATTTTACATAGTAATAATTGGTAACTCATATGTTCCATCTCAAAATAATGTAATAATTTATATGCAAAATAAATGAGTTTGATAAAAACATAACATTACTGAATTAATTAAAAAATCTTAGGACAGTTCTTGCAATGTCTGTTAATTTTAACCGGACTCTGTGAAAACTGGCATTAGTAGTAAAAAAAGTATACAATAAGACTGGTCATGATAGGAAGTAATCATGTTATCAATTATCAGGTCTAAATAATTGAAACTTCACAATATTATTAATTAGTTCATATAGCTGATATATTGTTAATTAACTATGCATCAAGAATGCTTGGTAAACAAATTGCATGCTTCAGACATGTGTTTGGGTAATTATCATTAGTGACCATGAGGAGAGATTGAACTGAACTAAATACATATTTGTTAATGTATGATGAAAGGTTACCATTTTTTTTTTTACCAACACTTCTAAGTAAATGGAAAAACAAGTTATATATCAAACTACTTTATGAATAATAATAGAATATAAATGTGTGCCAAGTATTTTTATTTATATTTAACACTCATTTAACAATCTAACATYATATCACTAAAAAACAATGTTTGTTGTTAAATCATAAATTTGATTTAAAAAAAAAACAACAATTCAGAACATACATAGTTACTTTATTAAGGTATTAACATTAAACAAATATATTTTTACAGTAATAATAAAGCACTAACATTTTGTATTCTAATAATACACTGATTGAGGTATTGATAAGTTGGAATGAAATAAGCATCTAGAATGAATTTAAAACAAAACTATAAGCACTGTAATTTGACGTTGAATGCACCTCAAAGATTAATAGGTGCAGATAATTTACATTTTCTTTAAGTAAGACTGACACGGTTCTGAATTGATTAAATAATTGAACTAGCAATTCTTTATTCACTCTTTGCCTTAGGTGGTGCTGGTGGTAGTGGTCGAGGAATGCTCAAAGCGACTTTCACAGAATCATAGATAAACCATTGTAATGCTGTCAAGGTACCAATCATAATAATTCTCGGACCTAAGCCTTTCCACAAACCACCAAAACCAATTTTTTTCAAYACATCAACAGATGAAGCTCCTTTTTCTTGGTTCAATTTTGATACCAATGTATCAGCTGGATGAGATACAACGGCACAGAAAACTCCTGCAATGTAGCCGGCAGCAAATGTTACGACTAATTGTTCTCCTTTACTGCAATCAGCTCTTGGCTTGGGTACAACATGAGCATAAATTAATTCAACAGTTCTTTCAAAACATGCAAACTTCATCATGGTATATGGAATTTGTCTCATCCATAAAGGTACTAAGCTTTTGAAGAAAGCAGATACGCCTTCTTGTTTTAACATTTTGGGAACTGCTTCACGCATAGTATTAGCAAAACCAGGAGTAGTTTGGATCTTCACTTTGATTGATTCAAGAGGAACAAGACCAATGTCAGCAAAAAGTTCAGCGGATGCAGAGGCAGCGAGGTAAAGAGATGTACGCCAGTAATACGCATTTTCTTCTCCCAACAAGTCAGCATACAAAATTTTAAAATATTCATACAAGCCAAATTTACCAAGGCCTTGGATGGAATAACCGAAGGCAGTCGGAGCCCAGCCCTTGGCTAATCCTCTAATACCTTCGTCAGCCATTGTGACTTTAAAACCATTGATGAGGTTCTTGTACTTAGCAGGGTMCACCTGAAGACGGCATTTGACCAAATCTAAGGGTGTGACCATTGTATGTGTCAGACCACATGAGACAATACCACCGAGCCCACACAAGGCGAAGTATTTAGGTGACCCAAACTCGCAGCTATCTTCATTGACCGCAGCTGCAGCGATCGTCCTACCTGCAATCCAAAAATACTCATATATAACAATACAAATTTATATTGTTGCTTATTATAAAACGATTGTCGAATGGAAGTTTGTATTGCCTTCGATTCAATCGGTCGTAATAAGAAAAATTTAAATGTACCTGGCACGAGATGAGCTGGGAATTGTGACACATTTTCCAAGCCGTTCTGTTGGTCAACGGGTTTTCTAAGCTGATTGAACGGGGAATACATATTGATCAGTTTGATATTTCAACCGTTAAAGTCGTCTGCGTAGTAGATTTTGACAGCAGTGACCAGACGCCAAAAATAAGGAGTTGCCGGACACCGGAAAATAGGCTAAGTGAATTTCAATTCTCAATTCACATTTCACGTTTCTTGAACTTTGCTGAGGTGAAAACTGAAAAGAAAAAATGTTAAACTAACAGCTGCAGATCCCAGGCTGACCTCAGAAACAAACGTGTAACATATTATTATTACTCTGTGGGATACACTGGATTACCTTACTATTCCCTCGATTTCATGTTATCAATTAACGACATAACGATTAACGAGTAACGACTAACGACTATTCATTATTTACAATTACAATAGTAATAACTATTAACTAATAGTGTTTTAAATATTTTTATAAATTAAATATTTCATTTGAAGTCTTCAGGAATAATATATTAATATCGAATAATTATTACT